GTGGTCGGTGGTCCAGCCAGCATCGTGGGAAATGCTCTGGGCAGCCAGCGCTGAAGGCCCAGGCACCTCCCTCCCCCTGAGCCTCAGGCGCAAGCCAGGAAAGGACCCAAGAGAAGCCCCCTCGTGGCAGCTAGGGCTTCATCCAGCCCTCAGACCCAGGGTCCGGCGGCCCCAGGCCGGGCCGTCCACAGGGATGCTTTAAATCCACTGTGCAAAACTTCATCAAGCACAAAACCACAAAGCAGACACAAACCCTGTTACCAGAACTGGGAGAGGGGTGTGGGCAGCCCGGAGCCAGGGAGCAGCCCTCCTCCCCTGTCCTCCCCTCTCCCAGCGCCCGGCCCTCAGGAGGCGTCTTGTTTCGCTAGGAAGTGGTGTCGTGCTCGGGCGGTGTCACCTCAGACGGCGCGGCGTGTTCCCTGAGGGGTGGAGCATCTTCGTATATTTGGCTTCAGATTGAGATGTTGGCTCCACTTGGATTTTACCCAGTTTTCCAATTCCTAGCAACTGTGCGTGTGCTTAGCACAAGAGAAAGCTGAGAACGGGTGTCTGGCCTCCTTCTGGAAACTTGTTTGGCACATCAGGACTTTTTTTTAAAACTTCAAAATATTTTAAAAATATTTTAAACTTTTGTTAAAAAAAAAAAAAAAAGCAACCGAGAGACTCTTCTGGGAGAAACATTTGTATTTGAATAAGATCCTTGGTGTGTAATTCAGTCTTGCAGTGTACAGGCCGTTGTGTGTGAATGTTTTATGATATGATCCCTGTATTTGCAGGGTTTTTCTTCTCTTTTGCTCTTTAGATAAATATGTGTATCGATATTTTAAATTCATCTTTGCTTTTTTTTTAGAGGAGTTTGTAATCACCTTATAACATGAAAATAAACGTTTCCTTTTTAAAATCCAACACGTGGTTCTGTTTTGATGAGGCTGTTTTTCCTCACGGTTGGCAAGCGCTGTCGATTTTACAGATAGCTTTCAGTGCCGCCCCAGGATGCTCCTCGAACGTGGGTATTATTACCCAGGTTGGAGACACTGAGGCAGAGGCTCACAGGGGGACATGGTTTGCTCCAGGGCACACAGCAAGTCCGGGAGAAAGTCGGGCGTGGCACCCCGTCCTCAGACTCCTGGGTCTGCTCCCGCTGGTTCTACCGATTCTCCTGATTGAAGGCCAGCCACCTGCTGTGAGCCCCGCACCAGTGGCCTGAGCCTCAGTATCCCCATCTGGAATAAGCCACTGCCCCCTTCAAGGCTGCGGGGCTGATCAGAGGTGATGCTGATAATGCACCAGGTGCAGTCTCTAACACCGGATCGGGGCTTTCTGGTCGCCAAGTCCAATAGTGGGGCAGGCTGCTGGGAGACCGGGTGAGTGGCCAACCGTGGCGGGGTGCAAATAGAGATGATGCCCCCCACACTGGGACCTCAGAGGACACTCAGGACCCCAGAATGTCAGTGGTTGACACGGGCGTCCTCAGCCTTGGGAATTGTGAGTCCAACCCACTGTGACAGGTGGGGAAACTGAGGCCAGGAGAGGGGATTGGCCTCACTGGGGTCACAGAGCCGGTCAGTGTTTAGGGCAGCCTTCCTGCCCACTGGCCCCCACCACCCTTTGTGAGTGGGCAAGGTCAGGGGAGCCTGCTGGGTCTTTCCCCAACTTCCCAGACCAAAAAATCTTTCTCAGTAACTCATCATTTGTAGACAATGTTAGAATAAAATCCCCTCTCCTCTTTTTTTGTCTGGCTGACTTTCTGATGGCCTTTGTCCAACTGCCCCCCCCCAACTGTCCTGGCCGTGTGGCTTGTGTTCAAATCCTGGCTCCCTCCCTTACTACCTGTATGACCTTGGGCAAGTTACTTAACCTCATGGCATCAGTCTTAAGGAATGGGTTTTGTTGCAAACATGGGCACTGGGGCTTTCTGGGGACAAAACTGCTTTTTTTTGGAGACAATAAAAAGGCTTGGTGGGGATTCTTTGTTGAGTCTCTTTTCACTCTCAATACTTGGGAATTTTCTGAATCCTTTAGCTTAAAACCCACCTGAGGGCCTGCCAAACACAAGGGGCTGAGAGGAGAACTGGGTACAGTGGCCAAGACCTTGACCTTACCACAGGGAGCACAGGA